AGAGAGAAATAAAGCTGATATAGGATGAACATTTTTTCTATAAGGAGTGGAGAAGCTGGATGTGTGCATGTACAAATGGGGGTAGGAAATGGGATATAAGCAGGAGAAAAGAAAAATGGTCAAAGGGAGAAAAAGTTGAACAAGATAGATAGGGCTAGAGGAAACTGGAGAGGATAAGCATGTGATTGTGAAATTACAAATGAGAGAAACAAACAAGCAAAGAAGATGGATGCTTGCTGGCCAAGAATTAAAATTCAGCACTGAATGAATAGAACAATATTTGATTCTACTTTGAGGGGCTTGCAGCTCCTCAGTGACATGATCAGAGAAGCAAAGGTGCAGGTTGAGCTACATTATTCTCCAACAGAAAGGTGGTAGCCTTAGTGTAGAGTAGAAAGTTATTAGGTCACTGTTGAATTGTTCTTTTTTAAAATAGTCACATGGACATGTATTATTTAAAAGGTACATAGTTGTGCAAGGGATTTAATTTATAGTGTTTCAAGCAGCTCCTCCACATCTGAGTTGTCATACACTGCAAGTAACTATGCATAAATTAATTATATTGAGTACATTAATCTTTTAATTGCTATATTATATTTATTTGTTCTCAGTTGCCATCACCCAAGGAGGAGCCATACAGCTAGCCAACAATGGTACAGATGGAGTACAAGGCCTCCAGACATTGACCATGACCAATGCAGCTGCAACCCAGCCTGGCACCACCATTTTACAGTATGCACAGACTACTGATGGACAGCAGATTCTTGTACCCAGCAACCAAGTTGTTGTACAAGGTAAGAGACATCATACTTGATCAAACTGTAATGTTTGCTCCTCAAAAATCTGATTGGCAAAATAATTCCTGTAAATATGTCAGAAAAGGAATTGCGTGTTTTGGCACATATCATTTTATAAAATGAGCAAAAGAAGTTCTACACAAACCTATTTGTAATATTTTCTTGGAGCCCTTTCCCCTCATTCAGAACAAACTAATATATTTGTGGATATAAAAAGTACTTCTGTCTTAATTCCTAATTTACTGATTGCTCTTTGCTTACTTATATTTCCTTTGTTCTTTTAAGGGAATTTTACACTCTGTGCCCCAAGAATTCACAGTGCAGATTCCTTTAGCGCAGGGGTGTCAAACATACAGCCTGTGGGCTGGATCCGGTCCACAGAACAATATGATCCAGCCCGTGGGTCACTGGACCCAACCCTATGCCCTATCCCTGGCTCCACAAACTGCCCAGCAGTGTACAGGCTGGGTCTGGTACACAGGCTGGACCCAGCACAGCATAGAGGTTTGGTCTGGGGCACGTGCTACATGTGGCACTCCGCCAGACAGGCCCTAAGCATTGACTCCAGGGCTAGTCCATATTGGGTCATGCTAGAGCCAGCACTTGGAGCTGATCCAGCAGGGCACTACATGCAGCACACATCCCACGTCAGCCACCCGTGTTGCATGCAGTGTTCACAGCCAGTCCAATCTCATGTGCTGTATGCTGCCTGCACCTGCTGCCAAATTTGCTGTGCACATGGCATGTGGGGTCAGTACAGGGTATATGCTGCCTGTAGCACTGGGTCCAGCCCCCACACTGCAGGTTGTGCTCACCCCATGCCAGCCCCATATATCATACAAAATAAGCCCTGGGACCTTCAGAGGGTCAGTCCCAGTTAGGCCTGTAAACCAGCCTAGTGACCCTCATCCAGCATGACTTTGACACCCCTACTTTAGACCTCCTGGTTTCTGCAATGATAGTAGACTAAATGTGACATTTTAGAAATGTTTTCCTCCCATCTGGGCCAGGTTACTGAAAATGTTCATTCTGTAAAGGAGCTTTCCTTTTATTAGCCATTTATTTCCCTTAGAAATAACTTTTCCTTTCTAATGCTGGCACTTTGAAACAGCGATTGTTTAAAAAATTGCGGTTTTTAATTTAAAGGATCATTCTAGCGAAACAGCAATATACAATAAGCTGTTTCAAAAGTTAGTTCCTAAATTGCTTCTGTGCCTTTTCTAGAAACAAATCCTCTGCATACTTGCACATGTAATTACCAATTTGCACCTTCAACTTGTCCTTTTAGAGCACACAGAAAATATTGTTTGCCTAAGAAGATTCAGCTTATTTAGATTTATGACTGTGAAGTCTGTATACAAAACAGAACAGTCAAAAAATACACTGAAAGACGGCAGGATCAGCAGCTGCAGTTAACAGACACAATTAATCCCTCTTCAGCGAGAATGACTGCAACCATGAATATATTAAACTAAAAATGAATTGCCATCGATGATCCAGATGTTAATCTTTCCTACGCTGTAGTCCAAAACTTTTGCCTCACTTTTTATGGTTCACATGTTTAGATAATGACCAGGTGTTGTTCACACAGTATTTTAACAGTGACAGTATTTTAACAGTGAAGTCCCACAACACTGTTAAACCTAACACTATGCTTCCTTGTGGCTTTATGTCAGCTGCCTCAGGAGATGTGCAGACCTATCAGATTCGCACAGCACCCACCAGCACCATTGCACCTGGTGTGGTCATGGCATCATCTCCAGCACTCCCTACCCAGCCAGCAGAGGAAGCTGCACGAAAGAGAGAAGTGCGCTTAATGAAAAACAGGTATATGTGCTTAGTTGATTGTCTAAAAGCTTGTATCTCAAAGCTGTGTATAGAATTAGTGTTGAATATTTAATACAGTATACACATCACATTTCTCATAGGTATGAAATAGAGTGGGAATGTAGCTGTCTATGCAAGAAGATTTGTAGTCTCTCTTCTTTTTCATGAAACACTGTGGCTAAGTACAGACACTTGGGGGTGTTGGGGAGGTTAAATCAATTAAAAATGGCAGCCCATATTAGGTAAGTCAGGATGAAGGTAATAGTGGGGGATTTGAGAGTAAAGTAGGCTGTAGGGGATCAAGGGATGGGAGGGCAGGAGCAACCCACAGGTAGAATGAGAGGGGTTCCCCTCTCCCAGCGAGCTTACACCCCCATCCCTCCCGCCTCTCCCCCCACCAGGACTTACTTGCTTGGCTCCGGCAGCAGCAAATGCCGATAAAAGCAGCTGCATCCAGAGTGGCTTGTGGGATGGGGGTTGAGAGGGCTGGCTGGTTCGAAGTGGGGTGCAAAAAATAGACCAGTGTAGGGGTTGGCAGGGTGGTGGGGGTGGTAAAAAGAGCAGCCCCAGGGCTGGGGCCAGTGTCTGGGTTTTCCCAGCCCCAGAGCTGTGCAGGGAAAATGTACAGTAGTGCAGTTTGACCTAAATCGAATAAGTTTGATACTACATAGATCCAGGTTTATCTTAAACTGGGTTCTGCAATTTTTAGACTGGTTTGTGTGCCTGGAACTTCTATACAGTGACAGGTTAGACTTACTGAGACCAGGTCTGTAAGTGTACGGTCAACATTGGGATGAGCTAAGTTTAAATTGGGTGGCCATTTTGAACCTGATTTAACCTCCTCAAATGTTGTACTTATCCTATATAAAGTTTAATGTTCTCTAAAAAAGCAAAATAAGAAAATGCATCAAGTAACTCTGTGCATTGTGACTATGAAACCATATGCCAAGGACCTTCTATGAGAGCTGCAATATCCTTTCTGTCAGAGTGTGTGGTCCACAGTAAATAGTTTACTAGTAAAAGGGGAATCTTGTGGTCTTGTTTTACTGAGGAGAATGTCTTAGGCAATGACATTAAGTATTTTTCTTCAAGGTAAAATTGTTTTTAAAGTAAATACATTCATGCAGTCTCCTTCCTTCTGTCCTTGATGTTGATCTTCTCTTTGTTCCCCCTTAGTGCTTTACTTCTAACTCTGGATTTTCTTTGTCTCGCCCCATTCTCATTTTTTGGGACTTTGGTTCCTTTAGTGTTGATCTCTGGAAGTGGAAGGGACCAAGAGGTGCATCTACATGTGCAATTAATGTGAAGCAGTAAACCCCAGAGCATATTGCCCCAGAATGTATTGCTCCTATGTGCTCCATTTGAACGTGTGCACAGGACTGCAGCACATTGAGGGGAGGGGCTGGCTGGGGCACAAGGGTGTTCCAGTATGGAGCTAAATGGCAGGCAGCCCCCACACTGAAGCACCTATATACCCCAGCCAGCCAAGGCAGCATCTACATGTGCGCATGATGTGGAGTTAATTAGTTTATTCCAGCCTAATAGGGCATATGTATAGATGTGTGACATTTACTGTAGAGCTAATTAGTCTACTCCACAGTAAATGTCTCATGTGGAAACACCCAGGGAGAAAGACTTCTCTGTTCCTCTGATAGTCAACAGTGGTAGCAGTGGTGCCGGAGTCTTTACTGTGGGCCTTGAATGGTTGGAACAGCAGAGACTGTTGATGAAAAGAGAAACAAACTCTCCTTGATCCTGTTGCTGAGGCTTGGTTGTAGGAGCAAGAAGTAAGAATAGAAAGAAGCTGTGAAAAAAATTCCTCAAAGCCAGATGACATGATGAGCAGATGTGGCTACTTGGAAAGGAGAGGAGAAGAGGGCTTAGTTGATTTTGCCCCATCACGTTTGAGATTTTCTCAGGTCCCCTCAATTGGGATCCCACTTAATCGCAGCAGGCCATGTGTTTGATACCTCAGTTTTAAACACCATATTTTAGGGAAATGGCAGTGCTTTTGGCATCTCTGTTGCTAGCAGAGGACATTAAAGCTTTAATTGAGAGTGGCTTGAATGAAGAAATGAGTGCTGAAATGCAGAATTCACTTTTGTTCAAAAGTTCACATGCCATCTTTCTCTATGGCTTGTCAGGTACTAGTAAGTAGTTGGTATAATTGTTTACCTTGCTGTGCCTTCTGCTTTTAATAAAATGTAGTTAAAATTCTCAGGCCCTTAATTTAGTCAGAAAAGTTACTGTAAAGAAAGCTTTTTTACTTGGAGAATGCCAGAAAAAGATGGGAAACTAACTCAATTTGTATTAAATAGATGTTTTCTACAGGAGTTATGTTATGCAAAGTTTTGCTTAGCTTGCTCATTAAATGGGTTTTCAGAAGCTAAGTTTCATAGAGAAGTGGGGAAAATGAGGTGGGAATATCTGAGGTGGATGGGAAGATGAAACCTACTGAAGCAATACATCAGATATTTACAGACAGTACTATATAGTGGTTTTAAAACTTTGTAATCTAGCGTAACTTCCATGATTCTTAATAGAAAAACGATGCCCAAAAACTTGGTTGTGAAACAGTCACAGTTGCTAAATACATAACATAACTAGTAGAGCTGTGCAAAGCTTCAGTCTGTGATTTGATTTGGCCCAATTCAGTGGCTGAATCTCTGCATCCAGATCAAATCAGGAGACCCTTTAATCTTGCTGAATAGAATCAAAACCCTCCGAATCAATTTGGAGAGATTCGGACGTAGACGTAACTTTAAATGCTTTTTGTACATACCTCAGGGTACCAGGCAGTTCATCAGTGCTGCAATGTTTGGGTGGATGGAGCGCCCCATAGGAGCGCGGGGAGTGCTAACCAGTGTGCTCAGCAGCAGACCCGGAAGTGGACCAGAAACACTTCCAGTCCTCTGCCAGGAAGAGCACGGGGGGGACACCCAGGGTCTCCCCACAGCTGAGCCAGGAGGATGGAGGGGCCCCCCTGCATGCTTGGCGGTGGACCTGGAAGTGGACCAGAAGTGCTTCTGATCCACTTCCGGGTTCGCTGCCAAGCACGTGGGGGCCCCCTGCGCTCCTGTTGGACACTCCATCTGCCCCAGCATCGCAGGATTCATGAGCTGTGCCTGGTACCTTGAGGTATGTAGAAAAAACACTTGAAGGTGTGTCTGTGGCCGAATTGCTAATTCTCCAAATCGGCATCAAATCTTCAGATTTGGATTCGGGTGAATTGAATCGGGGACAGTGACCCGAATCAACGTATAGAATAATTGTCCCCAATTCAGGCCGAATCTGAATCGAATATGGCCCATTTCATACGCCCCTAATAACTAGTTCAAAGCCAGAGAAACAGGGTATTCAAAAGCTGTCATCCAGCAATGCAGGCTCTGTAAGTGCATAGACAAACATAATTGTACCACTTTTAGAGGCTTCTGATTCAAACTGTTAGGATACAGTTCTTTAGTTTGCATGATTCTGTAGCAAACATGGAAGTTCTGTTGCTCCAAACTTTAACCCTGCTTCATCCAGAGGCAAAATTAGGGTGTTTTAGTTCACTTATATCACTACAGGCTCATGCAGCTATAACAGTTGCAGCATAACAGGTGTTCCATGCTCCTGAGCAGCATCTCCTTGTCCCCTTTTAAAACCTCTACAAATCTCTGTAAACCCCTAATCCTCTACCTAAAGGCATTATTTAACCTTGCCCATTAGTGCACATAGTTTCATGTATTACAAATTAAAATTGCCTTAAACAAGGGGTCCTCAACCTCAGCCTGCTGGCCAGATCCAACTCCTGGAACCATGTCCTCCAGTCCATGGGTCTTCCCAGAGAATTCACAGTAAGCCCATGGGCCATGGCCCTGCACACTATATCAGGTGCACAAGGCGGTGTGGGACCCAATCTGGCATGCAGGGGCAGCCCGTGGACTGGCCCTGCACCATTCATCTGGCCTCTGAATCCAAAGCTTTAAGCAATACATTAAGCCACATCCAAGTTTCAGAACTGTGCATTATATGAGCTCCACTTACAGTTCATCTCCCTACAAAATTTTGGTTAGAATGTAGAAAGCATTCTTCCACCTGCCCTACAGAAGAAATGCAAAAAAATGAGGAGAGATTCACTAGTAATGACTCCATGGTTAAGATTGAATCCTGAAACAGGCTTAAAACACAATTAATTCCTGATTTGGTACATGTAGAAAACTGTCCAGTTTTGGTTTGACTTCTTTCATGAATTTTCTATAGGAAGCATCTGAAATTTGTCTGGGACTGATGTCTGTCTATGTCAGCCTGAACTTTTCTTGCTTCTAATTGGTGATGTGAGGTTTGACTTAATTATTTTAAAATGGTTTGATATCCCAGAATGAAAGACTTTCTGGATCCCAAAGGCATCCAGCCCTCTTGCACTCTGACCCCAAACTAGCATAGCCACACTAACAGATTCCCCTAGCTGGGGAGGATGGTCACAGCACCACATTAACTGGGGTACACCCAGCCAGCACAGAGACTTCTCATTGACTGTCACCACTTTCCTTGATGAGGTTAAATATTGCCCATCAGAAATTCCAGTTACTCCAAGTATCTATTGGATCCAAATAAGCATTAGTTACTGGTCCTTTCAGGTGGAAATAAAAGTTGTCTTTTGTCACCTTGGTGTTGCCTTAAAAATTTTTACAGCAGTACAAGAGTGAAAGCAAGTGGACTTCCATACTCTTTGTCATACCACACATGCCCAAATTTGTGGTCGTGAGCAAGTTAGTAATAAGCTCTGCTGTTTTATGGTGGCAGGCATCTATTTCCTTTATGGTGAGGGAGCACAGGCTTGGACCTGTCAATCCTGAGATGTATCTGCGTGGCTTTCCCTGCTTCTAGTGACGTGCCCAACAATCTTTGGGACTCATCTCTAGAAACAGGAAAAGGGGAGGCTCTGACTTCCCCTGCTTTCAGAGACATGTCCCAGAGATTTCTAGGGATATGTCTGGAAGCAAGGAACATGTCACCAGTTGTCCTACAAAATTAATGGGTGACGTGTTTCACCCAGTGAAGTGATCAGCTGTATCAGCATAGCTGATCTGCTTCATTTGGCGACATCTATTTCCAACCTTAAGTCTGATATATGCACATTCATTTTTGAGTTTCTTTCCACCATGTGCTTTATTTCAGTGTTGTAACTTCACCTTTTTAACTATTTTTCCTCTGAATGTTGTTGCTGTTAATTTTGGTGCCAGGTTAATTTTTTTGCTTCCGTTTTAAGAATGTTTAGCAAAATGTTGGCATTACTAAGGCATTTCCATTGATGTTCTTAGCATTTTGGCATCAGCAATCATGCTACTCTACTGTCTGAATTAAGCACCAGCACTACAGTTTTTATAAGTGTTGCGGATTCATCAATGCTTCTTGGTTCTAACATTATCAATACAATTGATAGTGGTAAGGTAATGAATTGTGCCCAGGTAGTTGCTAACAATGAGTTATATTCTCTTAAAAGTGGGGATGGGGGATGATCTATCATTTGAAATGTTTTAATTTTAAATGCAGTGGCGTGAACCACATCAATGAAATGAATATATTGTTAACAGGGTTTAAATTATGTCAAATATAGGAATACCTTAACTCTCACTTCTGTTGTATTAGGCAAATGAGTCTAATAATAATAATCATTGTGGTCATTACTTGGTTTTTATGTACAAAAAGAAAAATTAAGCTGGGTCAGTGGATGAACATGGTTTTTACTTTTTATTTTTTTTATAGAACTGGTAGTAAAATACCATATTCTATACAAAGGATGTTGTGATGTATTCCATTTAACAAAAAATACCTTTCAAGTTTACATTTTGACTGGCAGATTTTTTTGGTGTTGACTTTTTGGTACATTGAATGTAAATCCTTGTGATTTTGAATGTGGACAATTTGAGATGCGATTCAATACAAGCCTACCATTTCTTCCTAAATTAGAGTTGTGTGTAGTTCTACATCCATGTTCTAAAATGGGTCATGTGAGTTTGACCAGAAGAATCAATTAAAAAACAGCTCATCCAAATTCTCATAGTTTGAATATCATCTTTTGCTTTACAGAGAGGCAGCACGTGAGTGTCGCAGGAAGAAAAAGGAATATGTGAAATGTCTAGAAAACCGAGTTGCTGTGCTTGAAAACCAAAACAAGACATTAATTGAGGAGCTAAAAGCACTTAAAGACCTATACTGCCACAAATCAGATTAATTTTGGATTCCCATTTTCATTTGTCAAGGTGGGATAGAGACTAGTTTTGGCCACAACCAGAAAGACAAAGTAAACTTTTTATTTTCTAAACATTTCTTTTTTTCTATGCGCAAAACTGCCTGAAAGCAACTACAGAATTTAATTCGTGTGTGCTTTGCATTAAACTGTGAATGTTCAAACACTTGCCTCCACTTCTCCCCCCATCACCAAGTCTCCTGAGCATGATGAAGAAGAGAAGACTTCTTACTCATCTTCCCATCCTCTTCAAGGAGTAATAATGTTCATTTTGTGAAGTTTTGCTGTGTGGAAGGGTTCTTTTATAATGATTTCAAGAATCTGTGCTGAGCTTTTTTGATTGCCTTAGGGACACAGTCACCCCAGCCTCTTGGCCTGAAGTACTTTGTAGGCTACATATATAGAATAGGCCTGGTGCAATGAAGAAGCAATGGTTGCCAAATTGATGCATGCTTTCACATACTCATTATAACTGTAAAGATATACAGCTGAGTGGCATGCCAAACAAAGGGAGCTCCACAAACAGATTCTTTATATGGAGACATGGGAGGGAAACTTCTTAATAAAACAAGCCCAGGAGGCTTTTTGGTGTTTAATCTGTAGTCTGTCCACCCCTCCTGGATTGATAAAACTTCTTCATGCCTCAGAAACAAATGCATTATGGCACCAATTTTGGTCAGCTATTGCTTCTTGGAGCAATTATGTGTATTCAGTATTCTGAACACATGAAAAGAAATCACCAACTGAATGAAACATAGTAATATTTGGATGGGAAATGAACTCAGAGTAAACAAAGGTACAGTAGCGGACAGCTTGTGTTTAGAAGATAATTTCATGTAAATGAGAGGAATGCATTAAAGCACTACTTGTTTTTATGCAACTGAGCAGTTGAAGTATAGCCAACTCCATGTACAAATTGATTCGTGAAAATGAAATTTCTTTCTGGTATCCCCCATTCTTTCAAACAGTTTGGTTATCTGCATTACTTCACATGATCATTGCTTTTCTAAATTCTTTTTCAAAACTTGAGGCCCCTCTGTATACTGAAATTCATATTTTGGAGTGATATCTTGATATCCAGAAGGATCTTGAACATTGAGGAGGACTAAACATGAATAAATATTCCTCGCTAAAACCCACTCTTCATGGAGCAATGCAGAAGCTGTTTGAGGAAAATAGCAATTATTAATTTGCCCCTATTAAGGTTAAATTACATAATTTATTCATTGGATTGGTATTAATATAAAGGGTTGGACTGAGCAAAAGGTTCACACATGTGAAGAATTTTACTCTCATTTCAAACAATCAGGCTCTTTTGTGTGCACTGAAGGAACAGCTGTCTTTTCCCAGAAATACATTTCAAGAAACAGTAGAGGGTATCAAATTCAAAAGAGTGACTGCTGTACTCAACATTCATATATCCATTATGTGTCAAAAACAATCATGTTCAGTTTAGTTTATCGGTCCTTTAAAGCCAGACTGATATGTTAACTTGGTCATTTGAACTAAGTTTGCTTTGGGCCTCAGGTCCTGGTTACTATTTCAACCTGTCTGTATATAGACATCCATACAAAGTCTCTGGTCTGTACAAATACTGACCTATCCAAATATTAGCTATATCATATATTTTCCCATTCCTTAAATCTGTTTTAAGATAAATTTTCCAATTTGAACTTATTTTAAAGAGTTATAGTCAGTGTGATATTATAATAAAAGATTATTGGGAGGACTAAAAGTAACTGAGTCAAATAACTCTAGCAGTATTAAAGGTTCTGGTTTCCTCATTTGGGAGGGTGCAGTTTCCAAGAGACTTAAGAATGAGCAAGGTTAAAATCGGAGCATTATAATTTAATTTAGGGCTGTTGATAACTTTGGGTCCAGTTTTGTTTGTATGGATGTGAAACAAAAATGGAACAGAACTTTTGCAAGTACGATAGGATGAGTTTTCAAGTCTGAGTAATTTTTATACGTGGTCTATTTTTATCTGCCGTAAAGGATTGATTGTTCTTTTTTTTTTTTATGTAATCAGTTGCAAATTTATTAATTTCACGATCAAACCTAGAGAAAACCCTAAAATTCTTAAATATGCTTTTATAAGAATCAGCAGATTCTTAACAATTCAAAATATATATGTTATAATGAATTAATGCCTGACTGTAGACAAATGGCTTACCAACTGCATGGTATTTTTTCAGAATTAGTGCTACAAGCAGAAGCCTTTATGATATTGCAGGAGTGATCTCTATAATGCTGAGCTAATTTATTTCCTCATTTAAGCAATTAAGTGTAATGGCCCCTCCAGCTTTGAGAAATTAAATAATGCTGGATGTGCCCTACATGAAGCAGACCATTTCTTACTATAGATCCAATTATTTGCAAAAACAGGTTTAGTGATGAACCTGCATGAAATTAGTAGACTATTTCAGATCTGTTCCTTGTAGATAATTGGCACTAATTAGTACCCTTGCTGATAGTCTCTTAGCAAAGCATCCAAGAACTGAGTGATCCGTGGAAACTGAGCTGCTAGCCCCAGATGTGCTTCTTTATAGGGCAGTGTTGAAATGCTCGTGAGGCAAAGTAGAAAGCTCCTGTTGCCATTGTCCATGTTGTAAATGTTCTTTGAATGCAGCTGTTAGGGTTATCATTATAGAACCTGTCAGCATTCAAGTCACACTGAAAAGAATCTCATTTTAAAGTATACAAATATTTGCAAGAATCCTTATTTTTATTTATGCAGCACTGAGGTTTTAGGGACTTGGATTTGGTTCATAGAAATTTAAAAAACAAATGAACAATAAAATACATATTATTTTAGACCAAGTACAGGGCTGGCTGAGTTTACCTGTATGCTTTACGTTCATGTTGGCCAAAAAGGGGAAGACAAATACAATCCAGGAATCCTTTCGTATGTCATTAACACACCAACTAGCAAATAGTAAGGTTAGGGTAGTCATCTTTTTATGAATTATGGGTTAATTGGCTGTAGGTCAGAAATTCTGCTGAAAGTAAATGGAGGACTTAGTTTTATATCTCACAGTTCTAAGTTTTCAAGAGTTGATAGCTTGGTTTAAAGTGAGGGTTAGAAAGGGCTAGACCCATTATGTTCATAATAACCAAGAATTGGTTTCAAATATAATTTTTGTAATATCGTTTTTTGCAAAACAAAAGCACCAAGCTGGCAGTTAAGATATTGTCAGAGGTGCTCTCTTAATTTAGATATTCTTGGAAAATAATACATATGTATAATATATGTACATATATATATATATATATATATATATATACACACACAGTATATAATCTACAGCTCTGAGAGCTTTTAAGTCAGGAATGCTGAGTATTATAGTATATTGAGGTCAGAAAAAATTTTTACTTTTGTGTGTGTGTGTGTGTGCGCGTGTGCGTGCGTGCGTATGCGTGCTTACATTTTTCAGTAGTTTTGGGCTGCATTATTTTGGCGCTGATTTTATTTTGTTTTGTGCTTTTGTTCAGTTATCCATTTTCTAGAATTTTACTTCATCCTTCATGGCTCTTGTGTTTTTCTTAGATGGAGATTTTGAATTATGTAAGCAAATGTTTAAAAACTCACCACCCCTCAAGATTACTCATTTTTGTGCTTTGTCTTTTTGGCAGCTATATAATAAAGGCAAAGGCAAATGGGAGGGTTTTTTAAGGAACCACTGATAAGATTTCTTTTCATCCTGGGTAGAGCCTATGCATTTTTATTCAATCAGTGATTTCACCAGATATTGACAGTGGCCAAGCAGCGTTGCTAGTATCTGAAAGCACAATTTCAGTCAGTCATGCCCTTCAGGACAAAGTCATCTGTAGGGTTCTGGCTGTTCTGTCATTTGTTTTTGCATCTCAGACCTACTGTCTTTTCTGGTTCTCTGTGTGGACCAGAAAGTTGGTGGGGTGTTTGGAACCCTACAAAGGCTCAGGAATAAAAAAAAAGTTTGATTTAGCAAAGGAAAAACAGCTCTGTATGTAATATTTCTGATGTAAATTTATACTATAATTTTTAATCTGGGCTTCCATTAGACAGACAGCAGCTGCAGGCAGTCATCTGTTAATTAAAACTGACATCTGCTTATTTTTAATTTTTAAAAATTGGTAGCCAGTGCGATTAGCAGGTTAAAGCAAAGACAAGTCTACACTTTGAAGTGAGTTCATTATCAGTGGTTGCAATTGTATGGCAGTTCATAGGAGGGTTTCAGTGAATTTGAGACCCTGTTCTTATTGACATTTTTTTGCCCTGAAAAAAGGTTGCAACATAACATCCACCCATGACTTAACAAAAAGGTTGTGTATTTATTTTTGTTACATGATATCCTTTGTAAATGTTTGATAAAATATGCACTTTTAGAAACAAAACTACAAAAAAAATGAGATCTTGATGTTAGTTTTGTTTGAGAAGCTCCCTGGCATGGTCATTACAGACAGCTATACATGTGTCTCAGTTGTCTCCAAAAATCAGTTGATACTTTCATGAATTAACTTTCAGGATGAAGCCTATCAGTACCTGACTTTCAGCAGGTACTTCTTCAGAATGGAAAGGGATCTGAACTGGCAGTACTGAAGTGTTACAGAGTGTAGTGTCTCTCAGCAATATGAATGTTGAATTATTTTAAGACAGAACTAGTTTAGAGATCTCAAATGAGAAAGGGGAATTAATTTGGAATAGAAAATAACACATCTTCAATCACTTTACTCCTCTTTCCCTCATTTGTGAGTTAGCTACACATTGCAGGAGCTACAGCCCACGAAAATAGAACCAATAGGATTTACAAGCTCTTGGTACTAGGAACATGAGTTGCATTTAGTGATGATATCTTGTCCATTAAGGTAAAAAAAAATTAAAAACTACAATTAACTCTTTGGCAGGGGCAATGAGGGGAGTTGATGACTTTATTTTAAGGAAAGCAAACTTTTTAAATGCACAGTAAATTTAATTTATGACTGTGGGTGGGGACTGGTTTCCTTAATTTTCTGAATTTAGTAGAAATAAAAGACACTGATCATAGAAGAACCTGAACATCATGAAGCTGAATCATTTTGGCAGGTTAAACCAAGGACAAGTTTACACTTTGTAGTGATATGAAATAATACTCTGTTGAGAGGGTAATGTCTTTACTTGTGATTGGTTCAGCTCTAGTGGTTTTATCACAAAATCTTCATGTCTTTGGAGAAGAGGGACCAGATTCAGTTTGTTAAAGAGGTTTGTATTTCAGGTGTTTTACCTTGGAATGTGTTTTTAATGTATTAAAGTATAGCCTGTTAAGAGGGCTGAGCCCATAAATGTGTGTAGCACGAATTAAAGACACTGATCTGTCTGCATTCTGATACTGCAAGTGCAGGTCCCAGCTAGAGTTTTTTGGCTAACTGTGTAAGATAGTAATTTTAGATCT